GGGGGGGGGGCATTTGGTTTTTTTTCTTTTTTAAAGAAAGAACACACTCTCTCTTTCACTGCCTCCTGTTCTTAAATTGTTCGCACCTACGCTCATTTAAATCACTGAAGATGGTCAGCTTATTGATCGCTATAAGTTTGCAACGTTTGAGTTTGGTGTTAAGTGAGCAATGTGGTTGTGATTGCGCTCAAATCAGGCGGCTCCACGTTTTTCAAAAACAAAGCCATTTTGAAACGCAAAACCGTCTTTGATGTTGATAAAAACATGAATGTCAATATTTCAGATGATTCGAAATTGTCTTTGATATTTATGAAAAAGTGCAGATTGGGTTTAGGAGCTAAATCTACATTAGCACGTTCACTGCTCAGAGTTTGAATGTTAGTTCAACCTCCCTATATGGAATTTGCATTTTCTTCTGTGGTCAAAAGGCAAGTCAGACATTCTTGCTCCAGTCTCAAAATTCCCTTGCACATTCGCCACCTTGCACTCAGTATCTGAGGATCGCCATGCAATGCATTACGGAAACACGCACGCTAGCTCGTCTCTTTGGCTGTTTATGGCCAGTCCGAGGTCAGCCGATTGAGGCAGCAGGACATACCGACACACTCGTTTCTTAATGTGACTAAGCTGTTGCTGGTTTCAGAGCTTAGTCTACATCTCGCAGTTGTGCGCGTGTGTGTGCGTGTGTGTGTGTGCAGCAGCCATGTGGGACGCAATGGAAAACCAGTGAGTCACCCTCGTCTGGACAGGAAGCCACCGGCCGGCCTAATAGCGTATCCCATTCAGAAATGTGACAGCTTTAAATAGCTTGCCACTGCATTTTGACACACCGGCTATAAAGCGGGCGGGGGAACACGGCGGAGGTGAGAAGGGGCGAGGTTGATCAGTTTGCCGGACAAGCCATGTGTGCGCATCGGGTTGCCGGCGAAGAGCTTTTGTAACTGAGTAACTGAAACCGCTCCGAAGTTATTCGCAGTCAGCGGTCCGCAATCACAGCTAGTGATCAGAGCTGCTACAAACGCAATCTTGTCTTGTATCGAGATTATTTGTCTGTTTCGCTCATGTTAGGGTCCCTTATGGAGGTTGCTCATCATGGCTTGCGTGTGTGTGCACATGCACGTGTGTGCGCGTGTTTGCATGCATGCGATCGTGGGAGGTTGCCTGCTTGAAAAGTAGATCTTCCAATGGGCACCGCTGCGCTAGACCAACAGCGGGTCTTTGGTTTATGACAGTCCCGACATACAAGGTTCCAAATTGATAAGCCTCCGGCATAGTCACCCATTTACGACCAAAACTGAGTTACATCACCGCTCTAGGAGGAAGTAGAACTCTATCTAACAATATTTCCCACAGTCCAAACACTGAAAGCAAAGTGGAAAACATTACTCTGGTTCCAAACCTGTACGATGGGGTGTCCTCCGCCAAGCGCTTTCACCGCCCCCCTGCTGCCTTCAGTCTCATAGTGGGCACGGTGGTGGGACTTGGGCTGGACCTCGATCTGTAGGCTGTAAGGTCCTGAGCTGGATGGCAACTGCCAGTCGAGGGCCGGCAGAGACGGGCTGGAAAAGACAAGAAATCTGTTGCTCCCCAATGATTCCAACACACGAACATTTGAAGAGTTTCTCTACCTGACAAACTGCTTGGGCTTGGACCAGGCATATTGGTGCTGAGGCACATCGAGGAAACCTCCGCAGTATGCCTCCTTTTTCAGAGGCAGGCGGTTGGAGAGGTGTTCGTCTCGACAGAACTCCCCGGGTGTCAGTTCTTCGCCGCCGGGCTCCAGCTTGAGGCTGACGGTGGGGTTGTGCTCCAAGCTGGTCCTCCGAGCTTTCATGGGTATACCTTCCCCGAGGTCGGCCATGCCGTCCGTGCTCAGAGCGTTAATGGCCGCCAAGATGGCCGAGTTGGTGTACTGGTTGGTGTTAGGAAGCCAGGAATCCTCGGTGACGCTGAGTCGGGGCGAGGTTTGGGGTGACGGCCCCGGGGAGTGGTTGGGCGTGTGCTGGCAGTGCTTGTGTGCTGTCCCGCCACCGTTAAAGCTGTACTTCCTCTTGGCACCACAAGGGGAGTTAGGCCTGGAGCTGCCCCGGCCAACAAAGGGGTCATCCGTCACGCTTATGCGAGGCGATGTGGAAGGGGAGTGTCGCGGCGAGCTACTAGGCAGGGCCAGGGTGGAACCCTTGGGGGACACCGAGGGCGACTGCCAGGGAGAGTTTTGCGGCGATTGGTCGTAGTTGTACGAGAAGCCCGACTCGTAAGATGACGCTTCTGACTGGCAACTGCGGGAAGAGACGCTGCTGGCCGGACTTAGGCAGCTTGGATCGCGGTAACCATCTGCACTGGGGAGGGTCAACGTAACAACGGAGTTGACCCGCTTGGCCACGGGAAGGCTGTCCTGCTCCGCCTCGTCCTCCGGGAACTGACTGTAGGCGGTGATCTCGATGCGAGGGCTCTCCAGGGCGGGAGCCCCGTTCGGACGGACCGAGTAATAGCCGGCGGCGCTCAGCTCGTCCTGGCTATCGAAGACGTGGGCCTCAGAGACCGAGATGACGGGGCTGGACTGGAGGCTCAGGTACTGGGGTGCGAGGCAAGGGTTGCCCAGTGGGATGGAGAGGCTGACATTGGGCGTGTAGCCATATGCGTCTGGAAGACAAACAGAATGGCAGAAGACTCACTCAAGGTTTGTATTGCTTCACACAGCTTTTCTGTAGTGCTACCCTCCCCATCCATGACCGTGTTGGCCAGAATATAAGACGGTGTTTTTTGCATTGAAATAAGACTGAAAAAGTGGGGGTTGTCTTATATTCGGGGTCTAGACATTTTACCCATTCACAACGCTAGATGGCGCCAGATATCATTGAAGCGAATGCTGAACTTGACTCCCTAGGCCAAAGTGAACCCGTCACGAAGAATAAAAATAAAAATAGCGGTAGCATGAAGAAGAAAAATAAAAATAGCAGTAAGAAAGAAAAGAGAAGAAAATAATAGAAGAGATAACAGAAAATGGAGAAACGTAGCAACAATCTGGAGAAAAGTGGGTCGAAGATCGGCCAGGTTAACCGGCAGCTGAGGAGAAGTTATGATGTAATTTACATTTCAAAAACCAGAAGCCATTCATTTATGAATGTGATTGCACTTTAGTTTACATATTTAAATGGTCAGATATTGAGATTTGAATGAGGCAAAATAACATGCTTTTTCTCTCAAATATATTGTTAGAATCATTTCAGATGTACTGTCATTATTTTCTGTATAAAAATTAATTTGGTGTTCAAAAAGTCTTTTTTCAAACTTGAGTTTTGAAAAAGAGGGGGTCGTCTTATAATCAGGGCCGTCTTATATTCGGGCCAATACGGTATTTTCATTCCACCACCACCACCCCCATTGACAGTGCTGTGCTTTCATGAGGGTTGCCGGTGAGCTTGAAACCCATCCCAGCTGACTTTTGTACTGGTTAGGGGGTGGAACCAGCTTTTGGGTGAAAGACCAGAAGGATGACAAATTGTCTCGTCACAAGCAAAATAAATACAAGCTTCGCCCAACCATCAGGTTTGGGTTTACATGTGCCTAGATTGAGTCTTCCCGGTTTTATCCACCGCAGCATGACCAGTCACACTGGGCTTTGGCTACTGCCTGGTCCAAGAACAATGACACAGAACATTTCCAACAGTTTGAGTCGTATAACTGGAGACTGGGTGGGTGGTGGGGGTGAACGCATACTGTATAAAACAACTAAAAATAAACTCCATCTGGCCCCACTATAACCAAACCCAACATGGTTTTTTTTCCCCCCTCATTTCACACTGCAAGATGTGTGCAGTTCGTTCACACCGTTACAAAGTGTTAACACTACAGTGCATATTTTTGTTGGTGGGGAGTGTCTACCTTGTGCCGTCCGTGCCAAAAAGCCTGGGAAGCAGACGTCACATAGGCGAGCTTAATAGGCACCCGTCTAAATTTATATGACATCAGCGGCACCCGAGGAGTCTGAAACCACAAGTAGGCCTTTTTTTTCTCTCTCTTTTTTTTTTTTAAACCTTGGCCGAACGGCTTAATTTAGGACGCCTCAACGTCCCACTAGGTAGTAACAAAAGGCTCACTTTTTGAAATATTTAAGATCCGGCATAGAGGATTCCGAGATTGTTTTCGAAACGTTTGAAGATAATTGCTGAAGACATGTAAAAAAACTGAGAACTATGGAGAAATTGTGGAGCTATGGCGAACAGTGTTTCAACATTTCAGTTTTCCTGATTTTTGGGGTATGGCTAAAAATGGCGCCACGTGCTGAGCTTTGGAGTCCACTTTAGAGAGCCTCGTTGTCGGCAGTGAGTGCACGTACGTCAAGCAAAGAAAGAAGAGCGAGTAGGGGGATTGTTAATATTATTAGTTTTAAGTCTGACATGAGTCTGTGGACAGGGACTTCATGGTGGCATGGACAGTTTAGAGTGCCTCGGTGTCCTGGCGCAGAAAAGCCACCACGATGATCCTGTGCGAATATTCCAGTCACTGGAGGCATTGAGAGGCTATATTTTCGCACCTCAAAAATTGTACACATAAGAAGCGTGGTCTATGAAGTAGCGTGCATTTTCTGGAGGTCGCAGTAGTGGTATTTGACAGTTGATTGGGGTGTGGTTTCAATGTTTGAGAGCAGCTTGATTTTTCATATTTTTAAAGCCTTTTTTCTTCTTTTTTAAAATCATTGATCAGCTGTGGTGTGTTGAGTTTAGAGGACATTATCTTACTTTTACAGGGAGGGGGGAGGACATTAAACTTGATATTTTGCGGATCTTGGAACACGGTTGTTTGATTGTAGGAGCTAGAAAATGTGAAAACAAAAATCAAGAAGAGTGTATACATTTTTTTTTCCAACAGTGATTTTCCTTGGTTGTAATTAATTCACCTGGGTTATGGTTTTTATGGATTTTTTTTTGTTCAGGCTGTGGATTTTTAAAATAATTTTTACATATATGCTGATATCATATGTATTATTTTGAAACAGGACAAAAAACGGAATCAGGAAGCATCTCTATTTTTTGCATGAAAGTGAATCATCGTCACATTGTGCCAAGTGCCACACGGACATGTCAAACGTGTCATCAGATGTTCCGAAAGTACATTAATGAAACATTATGGAAAAGGTCAAATTAAGTCACAAAAGTGAAAACTCACCCTCCTCGGCAGATTTCATCATCTCCTTTTGGAAGCCCAAAGAGCACAAAGTGATGTCAAACTGTTGCTTCGGATGCCAAACGATTCACTTTGTGATCCATAGAAGCACTACAGTTGCAGTATTCCCCAGGTTCGAAATAACCTTTTTTTGTACGAAAGAGGGGAATCCAGAAGGGTTCCTCTGTAGTGTGTGTGTGGGAGTGGTGGTAGGGAAGGGGGGTGGGGGGGATCCTGGTTCCGTTGGTTCGCCTGTGACCGTGACGCTCAGCACACTGGAGCGCCTTTTAAACCGGGGGATCACCTCAGAGGATCGCCTCCCTGGGAGGGTCCTGTCCTGCCCTGCCCCCTTCCGCTCCGGAACGCGCCAGTGACGCAAACGTGCGTGCGCGCGGCCGACGCCATCCAGTGGAGATCCTGGCGGCGCGCGGCGCAGGCGCAGCTGCGGGCGGACCAGGCTGGCAGGGAATCCTGGAGGATTTGATCAAACTGCATGGAGTCCCAAAAACACCCGGCAGAAGGATCAAAAACACGTGTGCTTCAAAATACGATCAACATCAAATCAACGTCGGCTAAAAGCGGGCGGACGCAGCCATGCTCTTAAAAAGGCGACCTTTGTCGTGTATTCAATTATTTAACAACATTCCAACTTCATTGGAATTAGCTTTGTAAATAAAATATATTGAAACAAAGTCAACTAAATATATTTTGTCGAGTAGGTATATACATAAAGTCCAAATGTTGCCTGTGATGTGAGTGCAGGGGCACCTCGAGGAGTTTTGCAAAGGCAAATGGCTTCTCGTGCTTCCTGCCGTCAGGAAGGTCACGTGAGCCTGCGGGCCCGCCGAACGCATCATTATGGATGCGGCCATTATAAAAATATCAAAGTCTTTTATATACCCTACGCACCCCGTCATTTGACACGCCGAGCACATGCATGAACGCAGGATCCCGCGTGGGTCGCGCCTAGAGGACGCTCGCTGCGGTCAAACTGCTGGATCCGCTTCCACCGGTTGGGACCAGCTCGAAGTGGTTCTTTTGCTCTCGGGTGGTGACTTTGACTCGCTATTCCTGAAGGTCTGCGCAATTCAACCACACCGTTTAAAAAAATTAATAATTTTGGTGTCTGAAATAGTAATATAAGTTAAAATCTAAATTCTTGATATCAAACGGAATTTAGTGATACGGTGACCTCAAGTCCGTCAAATTTGTGGACGTGCGCTAAAAGTTTTGTTTCGATTGGAACGCTTAAAAAACCGACAATTGATTTTGCTGAAACCTTGGCGATCAACAGAAAAATAATGCTGTCAATACGGGAACTTATACTCACTATTTTAGACGGCGCTCAACCTAGAGGACTGGAGAAGAACAGTGTGATTTTGCATGGCAAGATTTCAGCCAGCTAGCTTTGACACGTATCGGATTGTTGTTCCCCCAGAGTGACATTGTCGTATTTTTCCTGATGTCGTCACGCTACTTAAGCTCATTTGGCTCACAGCAAAACGTATAATGAGCTCCGAAAATGATTTGCCTCGCCCTTATTTGGCAATTGAGCGCATCTCCTCTTACATAAAACTTTGTTCGTCCCCTCAAAGGGCAATTGTCATTTCATTGACCTCATGGAAAATAAATTGGGGGTTGAGGTTAGGGGGGTGGGCGTTTGCGTGGTTGGGGTCCGCATGGGTAAATCAAACGTGCAGCAGTAAACACTGGTGTGGTCTTCATAAATAACGCCGGCACTCTTTGATGAGGGAGTTGGGGTGGTCGTCACTTAGTCGGCACGGCAACTGCCACCACAGACCACAAGGGTCCCGAGACACAGAAACCGAACATGCGATGGCACAATAACAATAGTAGCCAAGAATTCCTTGTGGCCCCATTTTCACAGTGACGCCTCGAAATGATGAACTAGAATTCCCCCAAGTCGGAATTCACCTAAAATGGCTGACTTCCTGTTTAATTCCAAGCAGGGGGGCCTTAAAAGTCATTTGTTCACCCTGTTATTGTAGACATGACTGCCAAATTTGAAGTTGATCTGTGAAAATTGTGTTGGGAGATTTGTTTTTGTTTGTTGAACTTCCAAGCTCTGGGTTTCACAGAAAATATAGCCACTTCAAACCAAAATGGCCGAGTTATCATATCTGGGCAGGGGTCCTTGAGACCTTTTTTGTGCGTTGCATAATGATGGACATTTCCATCAAATTTCATGCGAATCACTGTGACCGCCTTGGGTCGCCATTTTTTTTTTCCCCAAGCTTTTGAGCCTTGGAATTTGCCCCTTAAATGGGGTCGTCAAACTAAAATGGCCGACATTCAGTAGAATTCCAGACACGGGTGCCCCTTGGACTTTGTGTCTTATGCAAGAAACGTCGACCCTGTTTTGTGTGTATCGGAAAAACTGGTGTAGCTGGCTAATTGTTTTTTTTTTTTCATCTAACTTTAAAATCTTGCAATTTGCCACTAAAATGTTTGTTTAAAAACCGAACTGGCCAACTTCCATTTCAATTGCACGCTTCCAATGTTCCTGCATCTCTGAAAAGTTTTTCGCTGTCCAAGCAGGGGCTTCTTTTGGACCTCAAGCATTTGGACAAACACGAAAATGTTCCCCGCTTCTGACAACCGCGGTGAGATTGGTGGGTGTAGCTCCACAATAAAACGTTTAGTGGGTGTCCCTGCACAATAAAATGTTGACAATCTGGTTTGTCTCCCCAGCAGAAAGGAACATTAGATGATGTTTTCATGTGTAAAGAAGCAAAGTTCTACTTTCCCTGCTGCTGACTCATGACCTGCTTGTCTTGGCAACTCTAAAAAAAAGACCTTCATGAATGTGTATTTTCATTTATGAATAATAACAGTAGCATGTCCTTAAAAGGCCTAATGTGCTGACTTGTTAAGGTTTCCATTGTCAAAAGTTGGGAAGGGAGGGCGCCGCTTTCCCCCCCCCCCCACAGTTTTAGTTGTTAATGCAATTGCATTGAAACTAGTTCTGTCAGATTTTGTCGTTTCCAATTTCAGCTCTTTAAATATATCAATATATCCTATTGTACATCAACTTGTATCATGTTGTCATGCGGTGAAACAGAGACAGGTAGACAGACAACATAATACTCACAGGCATACATTCCTTATCCTCTGCGAAGAACGATTAATATTGCAACTTACTGAGAAGTGGACGTAAGTCTTTTTTTTTTTTTTACATATACTGCCCCCAGGTGGGACACTGTAAGAGCAGCACAATCACGCATACAGCTTTAGTCTTCACATTTTATGTATTTTTTTTTTTAAATGCAGGCACAGCATTATAAAGTTCTATTTTTCTGAATTCAGAGCATATTATAAATTATTTTATTTTTCTTCAATTTAGCAAAACTGAGTGAGAGAAAGCAGAAACGTACATTTTATCTCAAAAATGACTGGCAACGTCTGACACTGGCTACGTCTGATCGTGGCTATTTTGGGCAAGATGTGAGGGTAGTAGATTATGAAAAAAAAAAAGAATGCATGTGTGACATTAACTTAGCATTTTTGACCAGTTTGCTTCATTTCTCTCCATAAAAAGGATGAAAGACCAAATTGAGGCATGTACCGTTGGGTCTTGGCGGAGGCCATGTTTTAGCCACTTTGGCTGAGTTTTTATTTAGCTGGCTGGCTAAACGTCCCTCCCTTCAATTCTCAGCTCTCTTTCCTGCGCTCAGACTTCCTGTCTCCCATCAATGTTCTCCTTTTTTCTCCGGCCACTATGACGGAATCCCAAGTTTCCTGTTGTGAAGGCCGCTGCCTGGTAACGGCCCAGGGCAGGGAGGAGCCTGGGGGGAGAGGTTTCTTTCCGGTTTTTTTTTTGTTTTGTTTCTCTCTCTTCCAAAGAGCACGGTATGAAGGCTCCAAGCGCGACAGCGCAGAAGTGTCACGGCGGTGGCACCACAAGCGAGTGGTTAACAGACAAATTTGCTCCCGTGACTCACTCCCACGAAGGACAGTTTAGGAGGGAGGGGGGGAAGGGGGGATCACTGACTCACACATGTGAAGAGTAGTGAGTTTGTATAATGGACATCAGAGTTTAAAGTTATGAACAAAATGCGCGTTAATGAGGACTTGAAAACATGGAAAGGTTTGCAAAAGAGCTGAAATTCACACTCCGGGTCAAAAGGGGGCAGTATAAAAAAAAGTGGCAGTGAAAATAACTGCAAAACTGGTGTATGGATGCCAAATAAGTAAAATCGTGATGAGAATATGAACATTATGTGAAATACATACAGTAAAATATATAAATGAGGAAAATGAAAACAGAAATGTATAGATTTATATTTAATAACAAATACACATTCAAAACTGTAGTTAGAAAGTAAAATAAAATCAAAAGTTAATACACGAATACAACATAAATATCTAAAATTAACAAAATATTGCCGTAAATAGAATACTACAGAAAATAACTTGATTTATCCATTCCAAACAAAATGTTTATAATATATAGGTAAAATATGCATTAAATGTAAGAAAATAAAATATTTACAAAATGTAAAAATAAAAATGTAAAATATATCAATGGAAAAATAAATCAGTAATAGAGGTGAATTAACATTTCGAATAGGAAATAAATTATGTGCATATTATAGACAAACAACATAAAATTATGAAATTATTTAAGAAACAAAAAGGTGACAATTAACAGAGTACATAAGTGTACGTATTGGCAATTGAAAAAAAAAATGCTAACGAAATAAAAGTAAAATACTTGTAGAACAAAATTAAATGCGTTTTGAAAGCAACACAAAAAATCTAAAATTAAGTATTTAAGTGGTAATTGCAAGATCAAATATATAAAAAGCAACCTAACTAGGGTGGGGGCGGGGGAGAAAATTTGTGTATCTCCAGGCTAGTCGTTGCAAGAATTATCCACTAATTTAAAGACCCTTAAAATAGAATTTGAAATCTACAATTTATGCAGTACAAATTAAAAAAAAAAAAAGTATTTAAAAATGGATGCCAAGGTTGAAAATAAAACATGTACCCTCGCCAAAGCTCCCGGTAGAATGAGGTCTGGTCTGAGCTAAAACTTCACCTCATGGAGTTTTTCAGGGAATATCATTAGCAGTAACTTTATCTTGTATTTTCTTCTTCTTCTTCTTCTTAGTATTCATAGCGAGCGCCCAAGACGGACGGCGTACGCTTTTTGGTCGGCGCGGCCACTTTAGCTGCTGCTTAGTAACCAGATAGGATAATAGCATAATGGCAGCTCTCCATTTTTGGCTGAGAGAAAAAAAAAATCATCCTAGCGCATGCAGCAGAAGGGGAGAGAAAAAAAAAAATCAACAGATGTTCCATGCATCTGCAGTTGTGCTGTGTCAGTGAATTTTACATCCCAATTGTGGGCTGCGTGAAATGGAGTGCGTGGTGTGTGTGTGTGTGTGTGTGTGTGTGTCAAGGCGGTCTGTCGCTAGCAGGCTAATGGTTTAGCATGAAGAAAGTCCCAAAATCAGGAACGGTTTAACTCCTCATGCCACAAAGTCACAAACGTCAGCGCAAAGCGGTAAAAGCCATCGGACCATCACGTTCATCCGCATCCATCTGCAAACTACTTCTCCTCTTTCTGCACAAATTGATAACACATTGCGCTACACATTGTTTGCCCCATGGCTGCTTTGGATTACATGCTAAGCACATCTTTTTTTTCCCCCCACTTTTTACGCATGCGTATACAGGCGAAACCTGTAATTACGGCAGTGTTAGCTTCACGTAAAGCAAATATTTTTGGTTTAGATTGAAAGAGGGAAGTTTCTTGCCTTGGAGGAAAGTCTGGAAATGTTTGTCTCTGACATTTTTGTTTGTTTTTTTTAAATACTGCTAGCTAACGAATATGTGGCATCAGCTCGCCACGGCTGAAGTTAGTTTGTTGCCAGAAGCTCCCAAACATAAAATAAAACATGAAATGAGAATTACACACATTGTATATTTAACCCAACACCACGTCACAAGCGGATGTTTCTAGCTGAATGCTAATATACAATGCAAAACCGCATTGGAGCGCTAAGAAAAGTAGCATCAATGACGGCGTTACACTTCTTTAAGCAACGGATATTTAAACACAAAGGAATGCAGGAACACAGTACACAGACTATCTAACAATCTGCTCTTTTTATGTTCTCTTTCGCATTACAAAAACAAATGCGTCCACTAATAGTAACTGAACACGTGTGTGATGGGACACGTATGCGCACAAAGCATCAAGTGACACATGCAAAAGACGACGTCCCACGGCAGTGTTTATGCAAATAAAAATATGATCCAACGTTTAGGGGCTCATTCTTTAAAATCATTTTATATCAACAAAGGAGTGATGCGGGAGGTGGTGGAATTATTGGGAACTGAGGGAACTTTTCTTTCACTTCATTTCATTGAGACATCCGGTAAAGATGACATCACGTACCAGACATGTCTACTAAAGATGACTTCACATCATAAATGAACTGCCTGTGTGGCTGAATTACATGTATTTTTTTATACTGTATGCAGCATGTTTACAATATCCAGGGCAAGTGGCTCGTTTACACTTTATATATTGGCTTCAATATCACTTTGGCGAAAGATTTAGAAAGTCTGGTCCTTGGAATGCAGCCTGTAAAAGTTAGTGTGACAGCTAGAATTTGGAAGTCAACATACAGGGAAAAAAAAGTATGTTCAAGTGTATTCTTGAGCCCTCATATGGCAATAAGAGTTATTTCCCCCTTTATAATTATATTCCTGCTCAATTTGGACAACAAAATGAAGGCTCTGTTGTCTTGTCAAATATTTGGTGTTTGTTCTCCATCTAGTGGCCAAATGGCGACACTGCAGGGAGAATTTCAAAACCAGGAATGTTTTCAGCATGTAAATTTTTACTGTAATCTCAAATGGAAAATTAAACACCATATTTAGCAGCGACACGGTTTGAATTTGCAGTGCTGGACTTAAAAATAAAAATTCTATATTCTGAAACGACAGCAGAGATATAAACTTTAGGGAAAGCTTAAAAAAAAAAAACACCACCACTTTTCATTCGTCCTTCTCTACATATTGCGTGGTACGTTTTTCTTGTCTTGTTTTTTTAAACACTTTAAATACAATATGTGCGGGCAGAGATGCAAACAGGGATGCCGTAAATGATAAAACTCATTCCAGACATCCCTAAGTGCACAGAGTAAAATTAACACCTAAAAAATGTAAACCAAAAGTCTACAAATTACACTTTAGGACCTTTGAAATGTGCACTCCCTCTCGGCGGCCATTTTAATGTGTGAAAAGACCATTTTTAATTGTTTTGTGCTCGTTCCATTCAAGTAATCACAAAAAGTCTCAAGAGATATCAATCAAAAAAAAATAAAAACATCATTACTGACCTCCACATCCAGCAGTGAGGAGTTGCAGCGGTGAAAAGAAAAAAAAAATGTGTGAGAGTTGATGACAAGATGGCTTCCGTGTGTGTCTCAGGAGGCCAGTTTGGAGTAGCTGGATGGCGAGAATTTCCGCTTGAGGTACTTAATGATGTAAAGCGGCAGGCAGCTGACCAGTGTGATGGACGACACCTTCCAAATAAAAGGCCACGTGGTGATAAACCTCAAGTCTGATGAAACACACACAACCAATAAGACTTAAAAACAGAAAAGTTACAGTCACAAGTCGTACATTACAGCAAAGATATTGTATTTAAAATACAAAATGATTGAATTTACTATTAGTTAAGGAATCTAAATGTATGAATAAAAATAAGTTTTGCAAAAAAATTAATGAAGTTACAAATCATCAAAAAACTAAATACAATTAAAATCATATAAAGCAAAATACACAAAGTATGTTTCCATTTCAAATCAGTATGATATTCAAAAAATACAGCAATTTAAAATAGATGCCTAAATTAATCAAAAAAATAGATAAAGTGCACATGAACTCAAACATAAGTCCAGTGGTACCTCTACTTACGAACGTCTCTTCATACGAAATTTTCAAATTATGAAACGCCTCAACAGGAAAATATTGCCTCTAATTACGAAAGAAATTTCAAGATACGAAAAGTAAAAATACAGTATGGGCTGCTGCTCGCAGCTCCCAGTTTCCTGAAGGCAACATATTAATTGTTGCTTTGCTATTGGCTATTACCTAACATCCTCCTGGCATCCCATAATTTGTGTACGCATTGAAGGGTGTGTCTCACCGAAGTACTCGTTGAGGAAGGCGAGCGAGGCCAAGTAGCAGCCCAGGCTGAGGAACTCTGCCACCACCATGAGCCAGTGCCACATGCGCACCGTCAGCGCCACCATGAGCAGCTCGGTCAAGATGAGCGCCGTGAACGAGATGGCCACCACGTGCACAAACTCCGACTCGAACAGCACCAAGGCACCGTACATCAGGATGCCCCCTGGTGGCGACGGGGAAAAGTCCACAATCGGTGAGCGCGGAACAACATCAACATTACAAACTCGTGCACACACACACAAAATAAAAAAATGTAAAAGACAATATAAAATGTTATACCATATATGCAGTATAGCAAACATTAAATGACAATGTGAGAGTGCTATGTAAAGATGTATTCGATAATAGACAAAAATACTAGAAATTACATGAATACTATGACATAAAAAACCTCTAAAAAAGGAAAATAAAAAAAAAAAACAATCCAATAACGTATCAAATGAAATGTATATAAAATAAAAAAGGTGTGTGTAAAATAAAATCTAAACTAAAATTGTACAGACTTGTTCACGATACAATTTGAGTGCTTCTGTATGTTGCTAAATTTTCATTGAGGCCCAAACGGAGCACAAAGCAGTGCTAACAGTCGCCACGGATTACATAATCACTTATCATGCAGCACATTCCGACAGGTCAACCGCTGTAATAAACTGCCTTTGTCTGTCCCTTCATATTCGCCCTCCTCCATCTCATATCATCCTCAAATCCACCCTCCCACCCTCCCGCCCTCACGAGTGGCCTTTAATTAAATTACAAAAAAGGCAGAGCTGTCAGTCTGTCATGCCTGACCAGAAGTGCAGATCTTTCCCACTGGCTGGACGGCTTAGCCATTACACAACTATCCTTATACATGCCTTGTACCAGCCGATAGAGCTGGAAACTTAAGACACTGAGAAACAGACGTTCTGATAGTGACTTTTAAGCTGGGGGCGGGGGGGCGGGGGGCGGTGGCACTGGAAATTAGAAATTTCATGTTACCTTGATACACGCTAACCAAAACCCAGATCAGGAAGGTCTTGAAGGAAAGCGAGCGGCCCTTGGTCAAGTCCTTGTAGAGCTCCGGGTAGAGCAGCGCCATCTCCGGCTTCACGTCCTGATCCAGGACCAGTGAGAACACCGGGAACATGGTGTAGATGGTGGCGTAACTGTACGTGGGAGTTCAAAAAGTCAAAGTGTTGGTTCAAAGATTCATAAATTACCCTTACCATCTATGCTAATTTCATTAGCCCATTTATTGCATATTAAATTACGTGTTAGCATTAAGCTCGCATACTTTTGTTAGACAAAATTATACGGTTTAGTTGAACAATTTGGTGTTTGGCTCAATGATTCATTTTATTTGGTTATGTGTGTCAGCAGTTTCACAGTGAACTTCAACCGGGAGTATTTTTATTTAGAGAACTGTGCCACTGTGAGAAAAGGCGCTACGGATTAACATGGTACGTTAATTTCCTGTGTGAGTGTGCTCATTGAGATGACGTACTCCTGGTTTTCAGTAAACCGCTGAAGTGACCGCCACATGTAAGTGCACTTAAGTATACCGTACAAACGATTGCTGTAAACGGGACATTTCCACCATAACACATGATAGACGTACCAGAAAAAAAAAAAAAAATCAAAATGTAATGTATAGAACCGAGGAATGCTATAAAGATGAAAGAGAGACATACCCAACCATGAGGAATCCTTGATACAAGGGAACAGAAGCAAAATAGAATATGGAGGAGAAGACAGCCTAAAGTGGGAAAAAAAAAAAAAAAGTCAAATGTCGATGTTCATGGGGACAGAGTAGAAAAAAGTTACTTTTAAATTGTTTGCTTCTTTGGAGAGCCTGGCCACCCATCATGTGTGAAATTAGCTCGTTGGGTGTTCACTTCTGAATATTTGTTTGTAAGCAAGCTCCTTACAAATTTTGCCATAGTCCCCCCCCACAATACAAAGAGTTTCACCACCCATGACGCGTCGGCTTAAGTAGGGGAATGATCTGTCATTTTCAAACTATGGCCAGATGGCAATTCGTCACAAGCAGGGTTATATTACTTTTGGATTTTTCATTCTAGTTAGTATTTATTTCATTTTGAATGTTTCAATTCCGTGAGTCATTTTATTTATTAGAGCAGGCTCGTTCATTTTTAAATTGTATTTTTTTTAATGGAATTTAGACATCATCAGACTTCAAAAGCAGCAGATAAAAGAATAGCAAAGACGGGACGCTCAGTGTACCTGCATGGCGGAGATGATCATTCCCCGGTGCATGACAAACTGCCCGAGGGCTGCTGAGCGCTTGTAGCTATTCCTGCCGTGCACCATGAGGAGGCGGCCGATGTGTTTGAACTGCGTGATGGAGAAATCGGCCGCCAGCGACGCCTGCTTGCCTTCCTGTTCGAATCACAAAATAAGTGCCCCCCCGAAAAGAAAAAAGCTGAATGGCACAAATGGATGCAGAGTTTCTTGTCGGATGACATTTACCTTTCCTTCGATTCCAATCCCACAGTTGGCAGCCTGGATCATGCTTACGTCATTTCCGCCGTCACCTGTTGCACACAAAATCAAACGCATGAACAACAAAGAAATCGAGATTAAAAACTTCATAATAAAGCTAGCTTTGGCTCCCACCCATAGAGGACATAAATAGGTCATCGTGGCGTTTGTGAGGCCTGGCTCACCAATGGCACAGGTCCTACTGGCGGTGTGCTGCTGGAGCAGCGTGACAATCTGGGCCTTCTGCGTTGGCGAGCAGCGACAGCACACCACGGCGGGACACTGGCACGCCAGCTCCACAAACTCGTGCTCGTAGTAGCGCAGGCACACCTCCAGGGAGTCGCCCGAGATGACCAGTGCGCAGTCGTACTTCCTGCGGAAGGCGTTGAGCTCAAGGTGGGCCTCCCCTCGGTTTGTCACCTGAACAGGGACAAGCGCATTCACACGCATACCGTTGACTCCTCACATAAAAGTTAGCACACAAGGATTTCACATGAAATCCAGGCTGAACCTAAAATATGGATGATGGTAATTGGAGCAAAAATTGCTGCATGAAAATTTCCACTAACTAATGTGTGACTGTGTTGAAGTGCTGCCTCCACAAACGAAAATGTCTGGCATTCTCTCCTTTCAGACTCTGGACGGTTTGAAAACATGCAGCCGCTAGCCTAAACGCAACACCCATTTCGGCCCTGAGTCGTCACACTCTCTCAGGAGAGTTAAGGTGTACTTCAAGCACGTACCGGTCGGAAAAGATGGATGTCCTGGTTTCTAGAGACCAAATGAGAGCTTTTGGCGATGCACGTGGCAGTTTCCAGCTTGTCCCCGGTCAACATCCAGATCTGGGGGGGTGGAATCATAAAAAAACAATGACGTGATACTTTCCATTCCATTTCAATTGGCTAACATGTTTTAATCTTCTGACCAGACCTTGATGCCGGCGTTCCTGAGCAGCTCCAGCGTGGGCCTAACATCAGCCTGCAGCTGGTCCTCCACGCCGGTCAGACAGAGGAGCTCCATCTCCCGCTCCAGGCTCTCCACCACCGCTGCTACTTTAAGGGTCCGGTCGTGGATGCTCAGTTTGGCCTGGTTGTAGCGGCTCTGTGGGAGAAGTCGCCACAAGTCTGCTGATGAGCCGAGGGGAAAACTGCGATGAAGGGTAGACTGGTACCTCAAAGTCCTGGTACTGCTCCTCGGACAGCGACTTCTTGGCCACCACCAACGTTCTCAGACCTTCTCGGGCCATGTTGCCACACTGACAAGAACCAGATAATAATGGTGAACAATTTAGGGTTGTATTGTGATTATGTTGCAATTTTCAAATAGTACTGGATTTTTTTTTTTTTTTTTTTTAGGGGTGTACAATAACCCCCAAAACATGAAAAGTTGTGTTGATCAAGCCACAGATTGGTTTGCATTATTGTTGTAATCTTACTTTTTTCTTTCCTCATACTACTGCCACACTAGTTTGGTCGAATTTTGTGAAGTTGTTCTGGTAAAACCTTAAAAGACTGCAAGTCAAAGAATAAGTTTACTCTAATTGAAGACGATAAACTGTTTTAATAATTCATCATAATTCATGGCTCATATGCCAACATTTTTAACATAAAACGTTTACTTAAACTAAAACGTTTAAGTATAATAACTCTGATTTTGTTAATTACAATACAGATTAATGGATTGATTGTGGTTTTTTTTTTTTTTTTTTAAATAAACATGTGGGAAGAGCACACAAAAAAAAACTATTGCGTATTTAATAGTACCGGTAATCACAATATTATGGGGGAAAAAAACAAAACAATTAGGCTATGTAACAAAATTGTTCAGTATGAGCGGTGGTTAGTTTTGCTTCTGTATTTAAGTATGATTTCAAATTCAGTACTTTTTTTTTTTTTTTAACTGAAGTACAGGAGTTGAATCAGTCAGTTACAGTTCCCCCCCCCCCCCCCACC